GCCATTAAACTATACTCGTAGTTAACGATCAATGTTTTGATGGTTAGAGATAAAGGAAGAAGGATAATATTTGTCCAAAAAACAATAGTTTAGGGTCAAAATAGGCTAAATTGATAGTATGAGCCTTAAATTGTCATAACTCAATAATATGGAGGTAATTTTTGGCATTAAATCTTAGTTTGGCAAAGCAAAATTGTAGATTTAAATGCTCTCCATAATAGATTTGGGAAGTTACAAAAACAAATATAGAAGTGTAAAGAGAAAAAAAAAAGAAAAAAGGATGAAAACGTATTGACAAGGCCGCTTGATGGCATAAAAGGTAAATAAAAAAATATAAGGATGAAAGAAAAGGGCTCTTCTAGTGGATTTGGAAAGTTATGAAAAAGAGCATAAAAGTCCAAAAAAAAAATTAAAGAAGAGAGAACGATGAGGTAATAATAGAGCCAACTTGATGGTAGCCTAAGGTAAATAAGAAAAAAAAGAGAAGGGCGAAAGAAATGACTTATGAGGATAAAAAGCAAAAGTACAAAAAACATGAGGATGAAAAATGACGTTTGTAGTGACCAAAAAAACATGCGCACAAAATATATAAATTTTGTAAATCACAAATAAGATATCTAACAACTAAGAAAGTTCATCACAATAATCGGACGACAAGATAACTAGTAAAAGAATGAATAAAAAAGGAATGGAAAGCGTATAATATATAGTGAAAATGAATCATGAGCAACAATAAAAGCTACCGAGTATAGGCATTATGTTTTTTTTTTAAATAATAAGAAAAGCCTTTTATCATTGTTCTTGTTTCAATTCATCTCTTAAAAGCCTAACAACAACTATTGTGTCGAGAAAGAGACCTTTTAAATGGCTAAATGAGTCAAAACTTTTTTTGAACTTTAATTCATTTGAGATTAAGTTTTTGAATTTGAAAATTAATTTCAGAGATACTTGAATTTTAACCTTTTTAAAATTAAGTTTATATGTTATTTTTTCATCAAAAATAATAAAGCGTGCAAGTCACATGCCTAACTTTTCAACAAAAAAACTCACATTCCTCGCACTCTCTTTCTCTCCCTCCAACCATAAATCATGAACTTGAAAAGACATATAAGCTAAAACCCTTTAGTCTCTTCTTCAACTCAAACCCCAAACCTTTTCAATCAAAACCAATAAGAAAACCAACTTCTTGCTTCAAAATCCTCTTTCTCCACCAATCATGAACTCTACTTTAGCCACATCTTTTCTCCACCTCAAAACCCCTTCTTCCTTAAACTCATATCCACTTTCCATTTCACCACTCTCAAATATCACAATTTTGCTCCTACCCCTTCTCTTAAAATAGCAAAAGTTCCTTTTCCTTTTCCTCTTATTCCTCAAACGACGCTTCCAAAAACCCATTAACTCGAACCTTAAAACCTTTGCTAAAATGGGAATTTTGATTGGTATCATAGCCTTCATGGTTGCTAAATTCCCTATATTGCCTACAAAAGCCCAAACCTCTGCAGCTTTAACAAAATAAAACTCGACTCTTAAAGAAAAAAGGAAGATATAGAGAAACTTACTTCTCGATGACTATACTTTTGAGTGCTACTAAAACGTATGCAATTTTGAGGAGATGTGATTTTAGAACATCCTTGTATTTTTTGGTTATTAAAACTAGGTAAGATGTTTATGTGTTTGTTAGGTGTTCTTTTGATGCAATTCCAATTCCTAATTAGTTGAAAAGAAGAGAATTGCAAAGGAAACAAGTAGAAAAACAAAAATTGTTATTTAAATTAGATCGAAGTCATATTCTTGAACTACAATTACAAATCAATAAAAACAAACACTAAAACTTGAACACTAGCAACGTAACTAATTGTAGGAAGAAGAAGAAGAAATATAGAAGGAAAAAACAGAGAGATTAAGAATAATTGAGAAGAGAAGAAAGAGAAAATTCTTGCTAACATCATAACTAACTTTCACACACTCTCCTCGCTCTCTTTTAGTAGTTAACAAACTCAACTAACTACTCCTTTAACTATTAACGATGCCAACGCTTAGCTAGCTAATTCCCTAATTACTAATAGCACCAACTTTTCTTATTAGCTATCACTTTTACTTGTCGCGACTGGCACTCTTGCCAACTCGGTACCAAAGAGTTGTATCAATACCCTCCATTTTAAGAATCCTTATCCTCATGGTTGAGCTTAAAAAAATTTCTTAACTTTTCAGATTTTTCGGTACCATTCGACTATCAAGTTTTAACACCTTGGTGCAAACAATCCCGAGCTTCCTTGTAGTACTTGAGCTTCGACTTGCAAACTATATTATTAAGCTTGCAAAAAACTTTCAACACCTTTGATTGCTGCTTCTCCTTATCGGTGAAAGATGAGTCATACTAAATAAAGTTTGTTGCCTTCTCATATCTTCTCGAGGCTCTTTTATATTTTCCAACCTTGAACAATGCATTCCTTTTTTCTTTTTTCTTATAACAACTTTAATCCTCTCTTACATATTCACATTCCATGATTCATTTTTCTTGGTGAAAAAGTTCATTTCAACTTCATAGTACATTGTTGCGTTAACAAGAAAAGTAGCCAAGTCTTATTGAGATTTGGATGTGCCAAAAATATATTCTAGCTAAATCGTCACCAATGCAACTTCTTTTTCTTCATAGTCTTAATGCTTTCATCCCATCCCTTCATTACTTGCACTTGGCCAAACTTGAACTTAAATGGAGTCCTTTTTTCACGAGTTTGAATAAAACTAGATTCCATCAAGTAAAATTCTAGTATAGTCTCTCGTCCATTTTTCTATCTAAAATGGTTGCTAGAATTACTAGAGTATCAAGTGACATTGATACTATGAAATTGCATTGACATACTTCTTTTAAACCCCAATCTCTAGGATCAAAACTAATATAAAATGCATAATATTTTTTTAGGTTTGTCTTCCCACACAATACCACAAATTGAACCTCATAATCCTCATAATATTATTGATTATTAATATCAATCAAATGCTCTTGTTTAGTTTTATCAATTATATAAAAAACAAATTGACCCTTATCTTGATTAACCATACTATCTTTCACTTTTTGACGAGTTTTATAGCGACAAACTATTAACAAATCTATTCTCAATAGAAGCTTTTGTCTCTAAGTATTCTTTAAACTAAGTTCCAATAGGCTTTTTTTTTTTTTTTTACCAAATCTAATGAACTCACCTTCAAAAGAAAACTCATATCCACGACCATGATTATTAACCCATTCATCTTTCTCATTCCCCCATTATTACTACCATTTATTCGATTTGGAACTACATTATCCATAATTGGATTCTTGAGACCTTTTACCGGTTTTTCAACTTATTGATCCCTTGACTTTGCTTTGAATAAAAAGGTGTTGTTTTCTCAATTAGGTCAAAAATTACTTTAGTCAAAGAATCAATTGATTCTTCTATTTTTTCAAATAAGCATTTCTCTTTGGCATTGTATTTTTTTCCACGAGATGCCAAGACTTCCTCCGCTACTAATTAATGCAATCGTAATTCCTAATCGATTGAAAACAATAGAATTAAAAAGAAAATAAGTATAAAAAAACAATTCTTATTCAAATTGGACTAATGCTTGTGTTCTTGAAATACAATTACAAATCAATGGAAAACTCATACTAGAACTTAAACACTAGCGAGTGTTTCTAATAATAGGAAGAAAAAGAAGAAGTATGAAAGGGAATAACATAAAGATTAGAAAGAATTAGAGAGGAGAAGAAAGAAGAATTCTTACTAACATCATAACTAACTTCCACACAATCTCCTCACTCTCTTTTAACGAGTTAACAAACTTAACAAACTGCTCTTATAACTACTAACATTGCCAACTACTTAGCTAACTAATTCCATACCACTAACAACACCAACTCCCTTTACGATCTAAGTTCGCTAGCTATTGGTTTTACTTGCCATGAAGTTGCCAACTCACTGCTAATTGGCACTCTTGCCGACTCACCGATAAAGAGTTACATCATGTTTGGTTGATATACATGCGAAATGTGGGATATTAAGGCGACGAGGAAAGTGTTTAATGAAATGCTATAGAGAAATGTGGTTTCTTAGAATGGAATGATTAGGCCAAGTTTGTTAGAAATCTTACCGAGGCTTTTGTAGTAAGCTAATGACCCTAGCTTAATTCTTATTAGGTTTATGTATCTAAGATCATCAACTCGTTATTCGCTTTCATGGGTAAAGTTCGTGATGTGATGCATGCTTAAGTCGGTATCACAATTCAAATAACTTTCTTATTCCGCTTTGAACTAGTCATGGAATACAAGATGAAACATTCTAAAATTAATTATGAATAAATCAGCTCAACCTTAGGTTACAAAAGAACTTGTCTAAAATAGAAATTTGAGGAGGAATAGTCACTATTAATTGAGCGAGTTTTATGGGTTTTGTAAAAACACCTAAATAATTACTTATAGAGTAGCATTATCCAAATAAAAGTGTTTGATAACATGTTGTAGAGAAATATGGCTTCGTAGAGAAAGAGGTGAGAGGGAGGAGAGGAAACGATTTTTGAATATTGGGATTTAATTCTGGATTTTTTTCTTTTAATTTTTTTTTATAAAACTAGGCGATGGACTAGGTTTTTAAAAATTTAACATTCAAAGATCTTGAAAATTAATTTTAAAATTTTGGAATTCAACTTTAAGAGTTAAAATTTAGATATAGTGGGACCCATTTAGGTATTTTAAATTTTAAAAGGTAAGCAAAATCATAACCTTTTATTAAAAAATTACTTGGATAGGGTGGAAATCGACTAAACCCCCAAAGTTTGAGAGGGGTTTGTAGTTTACCCAACACCGGACTAGAATGATTCCAAATTCTAACATTGTGTTTGGATATTTCCTATTGGGAGGAAAGAAAAGAGAGAAAAGAAAATAAGAGGAAAGAAAACTATTTTTCACTTGTTGTTTGGATAAGAATAGAAATGAAAAGAAAGAAAGTATATATATTTTTTTGTTTGAATAATTGTAGAAAGAGAGAAAAAAGAAAATGTATTATTGTATATTTACTATAATACTCCTATGATTACATATCTATATTTAAATACTTATAATAAATTTATATGAATATTTTTTTCATTAAAATTGCACAAATGATAATAAAATAAAAATTTAGCATGTAGCATCCATCCGAAATGACAAGATGGATAATGAATTAGCTCCATAGAATAATCGATAACTCGTTTACTAATGAGTTAATTCAATAGCTAATTTAGATTAATTGTCAATATAAAATTAATTTAAATATGTATAACATATATTATTATCTACGCATATAATAAGTCGATTGCTTTTACCTATCATTTTCTCAGCTTTTTTATTTTGCATTAAAAACTTATTATCTACATGTAGTTACTATAACACCTGCAACTTCTTTAAACCCCAAATCCTCTTTAACAATATCATCATCCCCAAATTCTTTTCTTCAAGACAAACACTTTTCCAACATGTGAAGTGAATCTTGAACTCTAAAATCTCTAGCTCTCAAAAACTTCAACAAAATCACATCAGCCTTTTCATCATTGCATAAAAGAGGAATACCCCACATGGAACATTAATTAGTATTACCGGACCCATAAGAAACCGAAAGTTTGTCTCTTCGTTCTTGAAGTGCCTGTTTCTTTGAATTTTTGAGATGGAAAATGAAGTAGGTGTCTTCTTTAAAAGGAGTACGTAAAGTAGTTGGTTCCATCAAAGAAGGGACATAGCTTTTCTTGTATGGTTTTGGTGAGGCTTTAGGTACTGAATACTCTTGGTGAGGTGTTTGTTAAAGTGAATTAGGTGATGAAGCTTCCATTTTGAATGACACCTAGATGGAATCTCCTTGCAAAGATTAGAAATTTTGTGATGTAGTTGAGGTTTATAGGTATGTATATTTATGGAATGTGCAGATCGAAAATGAGGAATGAGGGGAGGATAAGACAAGAAAAATAAATAAGAGGGAGAAATAGAGAGAGTGTACAAATCAATGATAAATTATCTATATCAAGTCAGCAATCGATGTGCAGATCTATTTTGGTGAGGATAAGACAAAAAAGACTACTTCTTTACTCACTATTAGAGAAACAAGAGAAATACTTCTCACTCTTCCTAACAGCTGAGAGGAAGTTAATCGTTGGAAGGAACAACCTTCAAGTAGGCACTCGAAAGAGTAGGATTAAACTACTGCAAGATCCTAGCCTTGATTTATAGATCTGTTTGTTACTGCAGAGAGTTAGAAAAAGAAAGGGACGAATGAGGCAGATGGCAAAAATGTGAATAAAAAAAAAAATTGACGTATCACACTTTTTTCTCAATTTCCTCCTAATTTTAGGAGAAAAATGAGTCCTAACAATTATAAATTTATTTATTATCTTTTTTCTTTCCACAGCTTTCCTTTCGAAAACAAATAGAGGAAACTTTTCCTTCCTTCCAAGTTTTCTTTCCTCTCATTCACTTTCAACTTAATCCAAAGACAGGTAAAGTAAACAGCTCCGAATTAACAGTTCTACACGACTCCCAAAACCTCTATTGAACTCGTCAGCCAATCAAAGCAAAATAAAAGTCAAAGAAATGATTTTGAATTTTTTCATAAACCACTAGAGAATTTCCATCATGGCTCGTAACTAGATACCCACTTATATTGACCGCACCTAATCATTCGTCCATTACCGAAATAAACGCTGTCGGGAAGGGATCTCTTTTCTCTCTCCAGTCTCTCCGTTAGAACAACAATGGATCTCTCATTTGCTGTCGCTTCTTCTTCTTGTTCTTCTTCATTTCACTTATTATCGTTGAACTCCCGCAAATTCTCATTATTTCAATTTAACCCGAACTTATCTATCAAATCCACAAATTCAACCACAAACTCACTCTTTTGGCGCCAAAATCACCCAATCAGAGTCAGAGCACTTAACGATGATGGCTTTGTCCGCGAAGATGTGCCTCACCTGACCGATTTCCTACCTCATTTACCAGTAATCAATAATTCTGTTTTTTTTTTTTAAATTAAAATTTCACCTTTTACTTCAATTTAGGATTTTTTTTGTTAATATATATATATATATTTCTTTTGCAGTCTTATCCAAATCCTTTGCATTACAGCCAAGCTTACGCGATTGTCAAGTACATGAATCTATTGATTATTATTTTTTTAATTGGTTTAAATTTTATTGCTCTTTTTTTAATTTTTAATTTTGGCAGGCAGACTTTTGTTGGACCAGAAGATGCAGTTGCACAACAAGTAAGCACACTTACTACCCATTTTTCTTCTGTAAACGACATGCAACCAGTTATTTCTCACATTTTTTTAATAGATTGTTGTTCGCAAAGATAGTCCTAGAGGCGTACATTTCCGGCGAGCCGGTCCCAGAGAGAAGGTACCTTTTTAATTTACAAATTTAATTTTTTAAAGTTATTTTTGCTTCTGAAAGCATTAATTTTTTTTGAGAAATCATTCAGTACAAGGGTGGGTGGGTGCACGTGCTTCCTCACTCGCATGCAAGCGGGACCCACTTAATGGTAACAACATTTGGCGCCTCATGAATGCGAGTGAGGGAGTGCTGCATTGGGTGTGAAATTTTAGAAGCTGATTGTTGTTGATTCAACTGGTGTGATGATATATGTATAGGTGTATTTTAAGCCCGAAGAAGTTCGTGCTTGCATAGTGACATGTGGGGGTTTATGTCCGGGGATCAATACTGTGATTCGCGAGATTGTATGTGGATTGAATTATATGTATGGAGTTGATGATATACTTGGCATCATGGTAAGTTTTATTCAGAGATAGGTAGTGGTTTTTGTTTAATTGTTGAATTGTTTGCTTTGAGAGAGAGAGTTTTTGAATGGTTGATTGACTTTGCAGGGAGGTTATAGAGGTTTTTATTCAAAAAACACCATAAATTTGACACCCAAAGTTGTGAATGACATACATAAGCGTGGTGGAACTTTTCTTTGTACTTCACGGGGAGGTCATGATACGAACAAGATAGTTGATAATATTCAGGACAGAGGAATAAATCAGGTGGATCTGCATTTTTCTTTTGTAAATTTCCAAATATGGTATAAGACCTGAATGAAATAACGGAAATAAGGCGGACTGGTTTTTGTGGATATACAGGTATATATTATTGGAGGTGATGGCACCCAGAGAGGAGCAGCTTTGATTTATAAGGTGGTTAATTCTCCAACAAGAACTTGTTCTTTCCTTCAATTGTAGCTATCAGGCATCCTGCATTATGGTGTGAGGCAAGTGTATCACATTGGCATGCTTTTTCTTCACTTTAATTTGTGTTTTTGGTACATCTATTATAAGGAGGTTGAGAAACGTGGTCTTCAAGTGGTAGTTGCTGGGATCCCCAAGACAATTGATAATGATATTGCGGTGAGTTGTGTCATTCATTCTGCAATTTTATGCTTCAGATCAAGGTTTGACTTTCAAGGGTTCTTGCATATTGTTTAATTGTTTGTAGTGAGGGATTGAAGTGGTTGAGTTGAACTTATTGAACCCTGGAAAATGATGTAAATTGCATTGTTGTTCTAGGTGATAGACAAATCTTTTGGATTTGATACTGCTGTTGAAGAAGCTCAGAGAGCAATTAATGCTGCACATGTGGAGGTTGAAAGTGTGGAAAATGGAGTTGGAATTGTTAAACTTATGGGCAGATACAGTGGTGAACATTTTGAACATAGATAAATAGATGGCACATTGATGGCCATAAGTTTCTCACTTGATTTTTTCTTACCTTCCTGCTTCCTTGCATTTTGAATCCTGCAGGTTTCATTGCCATGTTTGCAACTTTGGCAAGTCGAGATGTGGTAAGGCTTTTTTTCTGGTAACTGTGTTCGTGTTCCTGAACTTAAAGTTATTTGGATTCAATTTTGGTGTCATTAGTGTCACAATTGATGCTAAGTAAATACAAGGACTTGCTGAGAGGATTGGAAATTAATTAGTAACTTGGTGTGGACGTAATTGGCTAATAAAATTAACCACGATCATACTGTTTTGTTGAGTCATAGCAATAATGTTTTTCATTTGTGACGTAGTGTGGGAAGAGGAAAACAGTAGGAAACAGAAATCACAACAGAATAGTGGCTAAAATTAGGATAAAATTGAAGTTGGAACAAGATTATAGAATTTAGGTTTCATAAGAAACCATAGATTTAAAATAACAAAAAACAACTACAAAAGTAACCCTAGCAGCCTATTTATATTAGTTTAAGCCCTATATTCTTGTAGGAAGAGGATGTCTAGTCTTAGTCCCCAAGTAAAACTACTTAAAAAGTCACATGCTTATCACATGACCCTATATTAATTAAGTAACCCTAATATCAGAAATATAATAAAATAAATTTAGAGAAAGTTCCTGCGTCAATTTGCCTCCAAGTTTGGCAGTTTGGGCTATTTTATGTGTGTATGAAGCAATGATTTGTTTTTGTAATCACTATTTTGTAACAACAGGATTTTGTGTTAGGAAAAACTTGGTAGTGCAACATACCATCTTTGAGGCTGGATGTATTTGAAAATGGTAGATGTAAGCATTCCTTTTTTTGGCCTTTTATAGTAATGAAGTTGCAGGCTTGCTTTCCTAGAGAACATATTACTTCATACACAAACATGTATGTGTATTTGTATTCAGTATTTTTATGCATGTATTTAGCATATTTCTCCACATGAAGTGTTGGAAAAGACATTGCTTCTGGATGTGCTTACATGGTGTGGTTTAGTGTCAGAAATCACTCATAACATTACAACTTAGTGATATGGGAATTGTGTTCGGATATTGGAAATAACAGGATTGCTGCTTGATTCCCGAATCTCCGTTTTATCTGGAAGGTCCTGGTGGGCTTTTTGAATTTATTGAACAGAGGATCAAAGAAAATGGGCATATGGTTATTGTGATAGCAGAAGGAGCTGGGCAGGAATATGTTGCTCAGATCATGAATACAGGTGATGAGAGAGATGCATAAGGGAACAGGCTCCTTCCTGATGTTGGTCTGTGGTTAACTCAAAAGGTTAAGGTGGGTACAAAAAGTTGCCGCCTCTCTTACCTCATGTTTTTCATTTTACAGAACAGTATTGTGGATTGCCTCTGCCCTGTCAAGCTAAGCAATTACTTATCCCAAACTTGGTGATCTAAAGCAACCTTGTTAGGTGGTAAATTGGCATTTTATCAATTACCAAATAGCTAATTTTAATACAGTTATGTTTCTGTGTATATCATTTTGTTTGAGAGAGATCATTTCTTTCATTTTTATTACTGCATCTATTTACTTTGTTACTATTAGTGTTATTCCTTTTATACTAACTCTTAATATCTCTTGTTGCAGGATCATTTTTCAAAGGTTAAGAAGATGGAGATAAATATGAAATATATAGGTACCTTCCAAATAACTGCATTAAAATTTTTATCCTTGGTTTAACAAAATGGTGCATGCCATGGTTCTTACTTCTGCTGTCTTAATTCAAGGGCAACCTTTCTATGTAAACTACAGCCTTTGGATATTGTTTTTAATATTTATTTGTAGGGAAAAAATATAAACAATGTAATTGACATGTGGTGAACTTGTGTAATATTCATTGAGTCAGGTGTTTTTAGGATCAAGAACAAGAAAGTATGTTTGAGAAACTTGGGAAAAAATTTCCCCTGTACTGATGAGAGAGAAGAGGTCTATGTGTCTAAATGTTAATGTCTTCCTATGCAGATCCTACATACATGATACGAGCTGTTCCAAGTAATGCATCAGACAACATATATTGCACTCTTCTTGCACAAAGTGCCGTTCATGGGGCCATGGCTGGGTACACGGGATTCACAGTTGGTCCAGTAAACAGTAGACATGCTTATATTCCCATTGCTGTAAGCACTACCTCTTCTCAATCTGTGTTTATGACTAACATGACTTTCTATGAATGCAGTTTCACTTGCTGGTTTAGCTTTGTTTTAAAAGATAGAGACTTGGCTCCTATATTTATAATTTTACAAGTTGAAATCTCTTGAGTGTGAATCAATCCATCAAAAACTTGATGAGAGGCTTTTGTATATTCTGTATGTAAACAGGAAAAGAAAAATTCTCGTTAATTTGGTTGGATTAATAAAATTAACTGATCTGGTAAGTAAGTAGGGTATTGAGAATTATCATGGCTAAATTCCCATCATTATAAGATGCCCAATACAGGTTTTACTGAGATTGATCTTAATTTTATGTCCTAAGTGTTTGAGTCTCAGTGAAGGAATAATAACTTGGAAAATCATATAAGATGGGTAAGAATAAATTCAACTACTACCCAGTAGCATGGATGCAAACTAATTTGGGGTGCTGCCGCTGCCTGATGACAAATGAGAACTAGTACCTTCCCTGCTCCATTGCATTGCCAGTCACTTGTGCTTCAGATTGCACAAAAGCATTATATAGTTTCTTTGCAACAGAGTGCAGAAACTGTTCTGTTTGCCATGTTGCATCCTGCTGATATGGACGATGCAGTATATGATTAACTGTTACTGCCCTTTTTATTAGAGTTTGATGCTGAGCTAGCCTTATAGTCGCCCTGTAAATTTCCTGTTCCATTCTGTCTTCTTAAGTACTGAGAGTTGAATTTTAAGCCGCTATTGAACTCCAAAAATGCACAACAATTATTTTCAATTAGTAGTAGGGAAGATCTTGGAGCTTGCGGAAACAGTTATCATAAATTCTCTGGGAGCATGTTCAATATTTCTATATTTTAACATTTACTTCCCTACCTTGCACACCCAATTTCACTGAGGGATACACAAATTGGTGTGCCGTTTTATTGGTATAGCTAATGCAATACAATTTCATGCATAACTGATTGACCTTTTGTGATGGTGCAGCGTGTGACAGAGGCACAAAACACAGTGAAGTTAACAGATAGGACGTGGGCCAGGCTTCTTGCTTCAACAAATCAGCCTAGTTTCTTGAATTCCAATGAGACGCTGCAAGAAACAGTTGATAGAGAGACTGCTGATCGGATCCCCAACCTTAAGATCAATTCTACTTAGATTTCATGGATCTGAGGAAAAATCTAAACAGGTCAGGGCCATCTCTTGTTCTTACCACAATGGTGAAATCTCTCAGATCTTCCAATACTTAGGAATCCAAGAATGTACGACAGATGTAAATTAACTACTGCTTTTAATCAGGTAGAAATATTATTTGGTGGCTGCCATTTATGATGATTCTTAAATTATATACAGCAGTTTAGGTTTTATCTTTTGCAAGATTATGCTGTTTTAGGGCACAGTGTCTGTCTCAATGACTAGGCATCATATTTACTAAATTCAAATGATATCAATGTACATTTACAGTTATTTAATAAATATTCTTCTATGTTTCCACTTTGTGCTTGTTGTGATCGTTTAGTTGATCCAGTCTCTTTATGTAATGAATTGATGATGGTAAAACTATCATTAAACTGGTTCAACAGTTTCTATGATTGATGCATGCCTGTTTTACTTGACGATTTATGTGCATCTTTTATGAAGTTTTCCTGCAATTTCGTATTTATTCCTCTCGCAGATAGAAATCTTCGAGAGTCGGTGGTCCTTTACTCTAATGTTTTAGCCAACCTCCAAATTCAAAAACAGACTGCACTAATAAATCCAATACTGATGATATAATCTGGATGAAAGCGGAAGAGGATGACGATAATAGGAAATGAAGTATCTTTCGTCTTTCAGATATTAAGTTGCAAGTTGCTTGCTATGCCTATCATTCACGACTGGCTTTGTGCCAGTTTGCCTATGGTGGCTTATCGGATATGGCCATACACGAATTTGGGGAACAAAACTGTGGCTGCTAGATCCAATAGGGGACCCTTCTGCAACTTGCTCATAAAGTCTTTTACTGTCTCTGTGAATGCAATCATAAACATGACAGGAATGGCCATTACAAGCTTGTTGTGATAGCTAAGTTCCAAAACTATGGCAACTCTTGGCCCACTTGGTTATGCGTGAACCTGCATATAAAAGGTGGGACCCTAGTTTTTATTACGAGCTGACTTGAGGTTCAGTTAGTCTACCCTGGTTTCGTTTCCAGCTAATTGTCAAGGCTCGATATCAGTTTTTCCTGTTCTTTTTGTTTTTTTGGTTGATTTGCTGGTTTGGAGGGGGCAGTTACGATTTACTGTCGATAAACCTCTTCTTGGATAAGAGTTATGATTACTAACTGTATTGTGTCTATGCCGTAGTGGGTTAGATATGAGCAAACTCGAAAGAGTCCTATAATCACCTTCAGTGAGGTAGCTGCAGGTTTCAGGCCTTTAGTAGACCCACCCCTTTAGGCTACGGTCTCTATAAGAGACAAAACTGGTAAGGAATTGTACCCTTTAAAGCCCGTAGACCATGGTGGACTCAGAAGACTTGCCAGTTCCAAAAGCGAGACTTTAATTCTGTCAGCAAGTTACCAGTAATTAACTTTTCAGGTGGTTTATATGAGCACCGACACAACTATTTTAACAGGTTTGCGGTCATTTGTTAGAGGACTTGAGTAGAGGGAAAACATCTGACACAATTATAATCCCAGTACCGCACTTTATGAAACTACCGTTTGGGTAGATATATTTTCTGAATAGAACAGTAAGAGATATTTACCACTGGTGAGAAAATATCCAAAAGTCAGTTTCTGAGAGTAATGTGTGGAGTGACATTTGTGAATTTAGGCATAGAAGTCTTTCAAGTGATGGGGCACTGCTTAAATATGATGGTATTATTAGAATTGACAATGTTGTAATCATTTTCCAGACCGAGTCAGGATATGAAAATCATTATACAAACACAAAGAGAGAAACAAGGCAAGAGGTTAAGGTCAAGATTCAACAAGTGTGGCACCCATGATTTTCAATTTTTTGGACAAAGTTCAGTTCATTCATGATACTGCCAATATTTACATTTCAACACTCCAACATTGCCCTAATCGCACTACTAATTACACAAACATACACTCAACCTGAGGAGATTCCTATAGGTGGCTGAGTTTTGATTTGCTTGTTAGTCCTCCTCCAAGCTAACTAGGGATTGAATATTCTTCTTCCTTGATCATATGATATGAAGGTTGGTGCAGTGAATTTCGTCCACCTATAATATATATATATATATATATATATATATATATATACATATATGTAGACGAAGGCTTGCCAGCATAGTTTGTTTGCGGGGCCCTATTCGAACAATCCCGACTAATCTATTGATACGTAAGCAAAACTGGTTTCCGAGATAACGGTGACAGTTGCTCCACGTCAGAAACGCCCTCCTCGCCTCCACTCGACTCTACATTCCAATTTTCCGGTGAGACATCAACAGAAACTGGCAGTACCTCTTCTCTCTTCACTCTTCTCCTCTTTCTGCCTGTGGCCGGCGGCGGGCTGGATAGCCCAGCCTCCAAAGGAAAATTCAGGATAGCTTTCCTGCCCCTCATTTTGAACGAAGCACAGTCATAAGCTTTTGCAGCATCAACATCACTGTCAAAAGTACCTAACCAAACCCGACTACCCTTCCGGGATGGGTCACGGATCTCTGCCGCAAACTTTCCCCATGGCCTTCTTCGGACCCCTCTGTAATGCCTTATTGTTGTCTCCTCTTTATCTGCCATCTTTACAGGTTCAGATGGTGGGGACTGATTACTTGAACATGAAAACATGGGTTCAGGAGGTGTCAAGTCTATGATTTCAGGTTTTATTTCAAAGCTATAGGTTTCTTGGCCACTATAGTAATTTTGGTCGGATATTGAGGAGTTGGATTCAGACCCAGAGAGGGAGTTCCCTAGTTTGACAGAGATACTGGCTATACTGGACTCAAGATTACTGATAAAATCGTCCGTGGAGGTGAAGTCTCCGAGAAGGTGTTGTCTTATGAGTTCTAATGTGGAGGATTCTTCCGGGTTTGCCATTTGCAGAGACAGAAAAAAGAGCGAAAAAAGTGGTTATATGGACATATTGGTGGCAATCAAGTCGTTGTTATATATAGGGAGTGAATTCAAGTTGCTACTTTTGCATTGAAAAAAAATCAACATCAAATGGGACTCTCTGAATTTATTAGATGCAACAGGTTTACAGCATTGTGGAGCATCACAGCACACGGTTTTCACCCAAGTTTTGGAGCTGGATTTGGTCATCTTATCCAAATCCTCATTAATAGGGACAAATTGAGGGTGGGGGACTTATAGGCAGGTTTCAAGTTGCGATGGGAGGAAAAGATCATCTAGTTTTGGTGTTGTGTGCGCGTCACCATAAGCGCAACTTGTTCTTGGCACCTATTATTCATGTCGTGTCTTGACTGCGTTAGGGGACAGATTTTGCAACTTGGTTTGTTATAGCAGGTCCCACTAAACTAAACTCATTAAAGGTCTCTCACATCATTTTCTCTGTGAGCCTCTACACAATTTTATGTTTAGTGACCAGATGCAGGGCTGTGAAAAAGCTGTCCTGAAATTGGTACCTATTTGATACATCATCTATCTGGGCCAACACAGCAATTCATGAACCTACATAATAAACAAGGTCTGCTTACTAGTCTTGAATTCTTGATCAGTCTACTTACCAACTACCGGGTATGTAAATAGTTAAAGACAGTTGTCCACAAGTACAGTTGAAGTAATTTTCTAAAATTGTCCCTCCTTGAGGTCCCATTTACTCTGTTCATCTACTCGGGAAATCCTTACAACAATAGGATAAAACTAGGAAAAGAGATTCTACTACTACACCTGTGATTACTTTTTAGAACCCCAAATTAGGAGGAACAGGGAGATGATCTGCCAGTGGAGGCAAAAGGTCCTCTGAAGTTTGGTGTTCATGTACTACCAATTGAGCTAAAGTTCTATTTTAGAAACGTTTTGACAAGAAAGTGCTCTGCTTTTTGTAATTTCCCAACTCATTTTTGTCATACTTATGTTTGGTAACATATCCATAAAGATACTTTTAATCAACTTTTTTTCGTAGTTAATAGTGTTTTGATATTCCAGAAAGAGGAGGGAGGAATAAGGGGCTGCAAAGAACACGAAAGGCACACATTAATAGAAACACGAGTTATTTATGTACTTTGAGTTTGGGAAGTTAAAAAAGTATTTTTATCTAAATTTATGAAAGCTACCAAGTTGCTGCTATGCTAGCTGCATTCATTGTGCAGAACTTGGCTCCTTCCTTTCCCAATTAGTAGGCATTTTTCTTTTTACTTGCTTTAGCCAAATATGTCAAATGGCATGTTTCATTTCTCAAAATGCACACACTCCCAAAAAACAACCCAATTAGCCCATCACACAGAGAGTTAGGCAACATTAACATAAGCTTCCATACCCCCTCCAAAAAATTTCTTGTGTGTGTCACACTAACAAGCAACATCTCCAGCATCAGAATTGTACTGAAAATTGCTAAGTAATGAAACCATGGAGAGTTAGCGACGAAGGAGTTTTTGGTGAACGTTACTTTTTAGTGTGGCTGACTTTCTTAAAACCTGATTAAGATGGATTGATTTTGGTATGTGAAAACTAGTCCAGAGATACTCTGATAGTTAAGCCAAAAAGTTGATGAGTTTAGGGAAATAGTCCATTTCATTGAATAAATGCAATCAAAGAACAGATGCTATCTTACAAAACTTATCTTCTTCAGCAAACGCAGTCATAGTTGCGTATATGACTCTAGAACCCTAGTGATTATATATACATACATATATTTATATAGAAAAACTTCCTAATCTCTGCGAAATCTGTGATCCTTGTGGCAAACAGATTTTTCCTAATTTAGTAAACAACAAACAAACCACCCAAACGACATGTTGACCCTTTTTCCTTCAGACAACCATCAGCCTTGAATATCCAAATGAAGGATGTGGAGATAACGGTGATAGTGGTGGCACGCTAAATATCCCCATTACTTCACCATCCCAAAACCCCTTCCAACTTGACGGCGTTAATGGTTCCGAAGCCGCTGCTTTGACCTCACTTTCCGGCGAAGAACTTTCCCTCTTCACCACCTTATTGGTGATAGATCTAGTACTTTCCATACTACTCTCTATTTCTTCGATCTTTCTTTTCTGGCAAGAAGTTTCCACGAATTGTTCAGGTTGTTGAGAATTAGACTTGCCAGCTTCAAGAGGGAAGTTCAAGATTGCTTTACTTCCTCTTAACCTGAAAGCAGCACTGTCATAGGCTTTTGCCGCTTCAATGGCAGTATCAAACGTTCCAAGCCATACACGAGCTCCTTTTTTGTTAGGGTCACGGATCTCAGCTGCATATTTGCCCCATGGCCTACGCCTAACACCCCTGTAATGCCTTTCTTGTTCACTAGAAACATCTGTCTGGTTCACCACTGGCTGTACTACTTGTGGGTTCATGTTCAAGGTTGCTGGTGGAGGAATTGCTATGTTCTTGATCATGGATGGTTTTCTCTGGCTTAGAGAACTTGAAGACTTTGGAGAGGATTGAAGCTTGGATTCGACGCTAGATTGACTTTGCAGCTTGAATTGTGGTTGATCAAAGGGATCAACTTCTGTTGATTCAGTCTTGATGGAGTCATCAGTAGTACTGGTGCCGGAAGTGGTGCAGAGATCATCAAGATTGGAGATGAAATTGTCAAGGGAAGCAAAGTCAGTCAAGAGGTGTTGCCTAATGAGTTCCAAAGTTGAAGCTTCATCAAAATATGCCATAGTTGGTAGAGAGGCTTCTCCTCTCTTGATCTTTTCTAATTGGGAACTTTTTAAAAGAGAATTAAAAGATCAGAGACGAAGTTGCAAAACTAAGATTGGAACTCAAAGAAGAAAGAAGAGGAGAGAAGGGAAGGTTTGAATATTTTGAGTGGAAATGAGGGAGTGAGAAGTGTATATATAAAGGGTAGAACTTGGAGAAGAAAGAAAGATAGAGGAGGGTTCATAGGAGGTTCCTGGATAGTGAGAGGAAGCATCATGTGGCAAAATCTAAAGTGGAATTTAGAGTAGTGGGTCTAGGTTGATCCTCTTGTCTTCTAGTGGACCTTATGGTTTTACCAGTGGTGGCCCATGCCGTTTACGAGCTCTGTTTCCTGGCTACTTCCTTCAGTTCTCACCACAACCCATAAAACGACAAGGCTTCTGTGGGCTTCCCTTGTTTAATTGGTTAGGTTTACTATAATTGTTTTTCTACGAAGGAGGAGTTTTTGTGGTATAAGATTGAGAATGGTCTTTAAGGAATAGGTATTTTTATGTTAGTTTTCTTATATTAAATAAAATCTATTTTCAATCCGGTTTTAGATAGATGATTTATCTGCAAATTAGTATACTTATAAGGAATTTTCTTTTCAAGATCTTTCCAAAAAAAAAATCATCTGCTGTTAAATTAAAATGTCACGAATGGATTGGAGAAAGTAAATATCTCATATGCAATCAACGTTATCCACTTCTCGTTGAAATTTTTGGATTTTATAAAAAGAAAACCAAACTTGTTTTTACCAAGTCTATCGTCACGTGAGAATTGATTGTAAGAATCTTCTATGGTTCTCGGTAACGTGAATAGCAGATTTGGATAATTAATTGAATTATAATTCAAAACCCCACGAGGAGATTTACAATTTGAAGATAACAGCATAGTCAATGGTGATGACTTTCAACCTTTATGAATGTAGGTAGTTGATATGGATACATTTCTAGCTTTCATTCATTGATCTTAGACGCAAAGCAAAGCCTGCAAGAATTTTTCTTCTTTTTTTAATGAATAAAATAAATAATCTCTTAAAGTTCAACTCCTTGACGACAATTTTTCAAAATTGCTTTAATCTTGTATTTGAAGAAAATAAATTAACTCGAATGTACATATGGGATGAGAAGAATTTGATAGTTGATCAAATCATTGGAGATATAGCACAAAAAATCTTCTAGTCTGAAAAGTATATATATATTTTTAATCTTCTTACTTATCGACCAACCGAAAATGACAATGCTAGAAATTGGCAGATTTCGCATTTTCTCAATTTCATTGAACATGCAACCAAGTTTCCTCACAAAGAATAGAAAATTTTCGCTATATTTCTCAATCAATTAGCTCATTCGATCTTCTTAGGTTTTCTAGCTTTGGATTTTTTTATTTTTTATTTTTTATTCAACAATGATTGGACTTCATGCATTTCGAGGTTAATTATTTTCTGAATATAGTTAAGAAATATTTTTCAATATATAATATCCGATATTCTGAAAATAAACTTTTAGAATTATTGATCACAAAAATCAAATTTTTAACTTGACTTACAAATCTATACTTGTTTATTAACGAATTACTATCTCATAATTTATAACTTGAGATTTTATGTTTTTAGAGTACATATAATTTTAAAAAATATGCTTGGAGTATTCCTTTGCAAGAAAGAAGTTAAACATATAAAATAATTTTCTTTTTTTTTTAAAATAATTGAGGATCTAAATTAATCAAATATTATTTTAGGAAACATTAATGATCGATCTATAGAGTTGGTATACCAATGGTTTAATTAGTTGGAAAATTATTTGACAATAATTTATAAAATTATCTACAACCAAAACCACCAATACTTTTTTTTTTTAAAAAAAAAACAATATTATCACCAAAATAGTTGATGTTGTTCGAAGCAAAGACTTACATACATGAAACCAGATTGAGTATGGCACCAGAAAATTGAAACGTACGTTGATCAAAACCTTGACCCGCACGACCAAATTTAAAAACCATGTGGTTTGAATATTGACTTTACTGTCACCTAAAAGCAAAACTTTTCAACAATTTTTTTGTTGTTTATTATGTCTTCAAAGCAGCAAACGAACTTGCGTTGCATGAAGCTAACTGCATCCACTTGCCAATTTTGCAGCCCCACCATATCAACTTGCTGACAAGTTGGTGCTAAATTGTGGCCATGAGGTCGACCCTGGTGAAATAGAGAATGAACTTGGACATTACATGACACACACTTTTTGATTAATGATGGTGTTTTTGGCTTAATAGCTGAGCTGTGATTTGTTTGGACTAATACTTGTTTTATCTACTCAATTTAAAAGCTAATAGGTATATGGTTGCTTGACGTAAGAGAAAATGTTTGATAGCGATGGGGTTGACATTGTTGAATCGTGTGAAAAGTCATTCAAAGGCCCAGTTTGTTTTCTCAGCCCAACCAATGTTCAGATTCGAAGCCCATTCCATGGCTGAAACCTTACCCCACTGCAAGCATACTAATCAAAGCATATGATATATACTTCCAGATCCCTTGAAAATCAAAACATTTCGTGATTTTTTTTTTATTTTTTCCTTTCAAAACATTTTTAAGCTACCTTTTGTGTATGAAAATCAAATCCTTCTTAATTTGATTGAGTTTTATGCAAACCATTTCCATCCAATTTATGAATTTTTATTTTTATTTTTTTTCATAACCTCCTCCTAAACTCAGAATGGAATACAAACTCGTTTATCACATGAGCCAATACATATCTCAAAGATAAAATTTTTGTGGAGCAGAACTTGGCTATATTAGTTAAGAAGGGTCTATTTTGGGGGTGTTGCCTTTGACTCGTAGAATCGGATATTATTATTCTTATTCATTTTGCTTCTTAGGTTCCAGCTTCCAAGATCTGCTGTATAATCTTGTTTTTTAGCAGCTGACTTTAAAACTTTGCGGCTCTTAAAATTTCTCCGCAAGGAATACACAGCACGAGCTGCAACCGCACGGTGCTGCATATATATATACACATATAGACCAAAACGGTAAGCAAATAGGAAGTTTTGAGTCAAACACCAAGACCATGCTATGAAAGATCGTATGGTTCAATTTCAACTGTTTGAATAATTGAACATTAATTGCATCTGGCTAGCTGTTGCTGCGGCCTATATTTCGCAGTTCTTTGATCTCCCTACTTTACTTGTTTGACATTTCTACCAGTGCTTGTTTTGCAACTTGGAATTACTTATTGTTTTGGATGTTTTTTCAAATCTGACTTATTATGATTAGATCCATGCATCGAACTCCACACAGTCTAAATTTTCAGCTTGATTTCATAAAAAAAGAACTTTTTCTATTGGGAAATTTTAAAATAATTCAATGAGTACCTGTTGGATTAACTATTAATTACATATTTTACGAGTTTATGTTTTGCAAGAAAAAAAATAAAAAATAAAAAAACACATCCAGAAAAATTTAAGAATATTTTTATTTAGACTCAATTTTTTTTTTTTAATTTTTTCTATCGTATTTCTCTTCACTTTGTGGCTATATCTATTTGAGAAATTTTATAATACTCATAAAGTAATCAGATGACATGTACGATGTAGTTACTCCATAAATTCATTTAGAAGAGAAAGATAGACATATAAAAAGAAAAGAAAAATAGAAAAGAGAAAAAAAAATTTAAACGAATGTGAAATTTTTTTTATCACTTTTGGTAGATCCGGATGTAATCTTATGTGTTTATCTATTTCCTCAAAATGAATTTATGAAGTAACTACCGTACATGTTATTAGTTACTCATTATGTATTATAAAATTTCTCCATAAAATATTGATAGCCACTTCTTGAGTATTATTTAAATTTTTTTATGATATTTTAAAAAATAATTATCAATATTTATATAAAAACACATAAATATAAAGAGACCAGAAAATTAAGAGAGAGAAATTAAAAAAAATTAAGCTTAAATAAAATATTTTTATCAGTTTTAGTTGATATAAATGAGCTTTTTTTAAAAAAATATATATGCTCTTCTTTTACTTTATAATGAATTAATAAAATAAATATCCATAGTTGCTCTTTAATTATATTAAATTTTCTCCAAAAGGCATATATCAATAAGCAATTTAACAGCATCAAATAGAATTTCAAGATTATAGGTGTCATGTACTAATGTTATACGATTGACAGTATCGTGCCGACAAGGCTTATTTATTTATTTATTTATCCTGTTATAAACATAAATAAAAATACAATCATGCCCTTCATCTGCCATATATTAATTCTTCTTAACAAATCTATTCTCATTTTTCAACGTCTAACAACGGTTGAGATGTAAGGTTATCTTGGAAGGTACTTAATTATCTGCCTTTTATGGCCGCGATCTTGACTTTGTGATTTGATTAGATGTAAAAACAGACAAAAGTAGCTAGCAAATTATTTTATAATTTGATATTTTGTATAGTTTGCATTTTGAATAATTATTAGATGACAACACTTATACAAATGAATCGTCTGAAATCAAGTGATTGTGGGCTCCGGCTGATTTAATTTCGTGCAATATTTTTTTCTAGGGTTTTCTTATTAATATTTGGCATGCCATGTTAACGACGACAACCACAGGAAGGCATCTGGAACAAAAGATTTCCATTTCGGATAGTGCATAACTGGGGACGAGAGGACTAAAACTATAGTTGTTGGTTACTGTTAGGGTTGACTTTGTAGCTCTTATCCTCGGGAAGTCATGACTCATGGCAACTGGCAAAGGGCTAATGTACCAGCACAACGTCCCTGTCATGGACGGTCCCATGGCTTTTATAAAATACATTCTTCAAGTTGCAGTTTGTACGGAAGAAAGCAAAGAATGATATTGACAGCCAACTGGTATGATGAGATCCTACTTGTATACACTTTGGTAAAGTACTTTCTTCATTGATCCGACACCAACAGCAAAAAGTAAAAAGTAAAAATAAATAAAAAAGCCATCACCAAGCAATGATCTTGAGTTGAATCACCACTTGGTATTAAACATACTAAAAACTTAAAAAAAACATTGATTAAGAATTATAAGATAAGAAATTAGTTTTGTTTTTGAAAAGATGTGAATTACTAAAAAGAATTATTTTATAATAAAAATACTATGTTTAGTTTAATTTTAAAATTTATCTCTTAAAATCTTTTATTTTTGTCAAAATTTCAAGTTTAATTTCCTAACTCAAAGTATTTTTTTATTTATTTTTGTTTGCAGTATCAAATTAAATTGACCGTCGAAAGTCTCGTTAACTTAGACTCGGTTTAAGTCTCAACATAACCGATATGTTAGAGAATAATTTAATTACTAAGATTTGATCGATTTGAGTTAATATTAATTCTTATTAGATATAAGACTTTGTTAATTTTTTCTCTAGTATTTTCTATGTTTTTCTTTTCTTTTTTTCTTTTTTTTTATATCTTTTAACCGGCATTTTCTCTCTTTCTTTTTTCTCTTTCTTATTCTGTTTTTTTTTCAACATATGTTTATGGAATCATATTGAACCGATCGTCGGATCCATCCCGTCGAACGTCTCATCAATTTAATATCGGATCCAATTTAAACCTTAATATAATTAGTATGTTGAAGAACAACCTAATTACTAAAATTGATTGATTTGAATTAATTAATAACGCCTGTCCCTATTAGACATGAAACTCGTTAAATTTGCATAAAACTCTTTCTTTTTTTGCTCTTCTCCTTTCTCCCCCTTTTTATCTTATTAGTTCTATTATTTTTTTATTTACTTCTTTTTTTATCTAATCATTTTTCTTTTTCTTTTTTCTTTTCTTTTAAACTATTATATATATTTTTTGTGGTTGGTTTGGAATCGTCACTTGTCTCTAAAAATATTAAGAGACTTGACGATTCATCCACTCGTTAATTATCTAATCTAGTTATTGAAAAAAAAAACTAAATTAAATATTGATTAAATAAATTAAATCTAAACCAGGCATGAAATAAAAGACATGTATTAAAAAATTCAAGGTTGATTTTTTTTCTTCCTTCTAGAAAATGGCTAAAAGTAGGTAAAGACTAAAAAAAAATAGGGTTATTGGGCCATTTAGGCTTGATGGGCCTTCGACCTACGAGGCTAGGTCCATTAGGTTGGACAACAAGTGAACCTTTTTTTTTTTTGGGCCTAGGCTGGGTCGAAGCCTAGCTCATTTAACTCTCCATATGGGCCTCTCCTCTATTCCATTTAGCCTCGATCCAAACCATTTCTTTTTAACAACTTTTCAAATCATTCCCAAACTAAAATCGATCAAAAACCCTAAATTATTCGTTTCCCTCATCCCTTTTCTCCTTTGTCTCTTCCTTTTTTTTTTTTTTTTGGTCTTTCTCCACCTACAACTTCAATCCTTTGGCTCCCTTCATCTTTCTCCCTAAGATTTCCCTCGACTAGATCACTCGATCTCCTCTATTCTTTTTCAAACCCAAAAACTTACCGAACAACTTTTTATTAAAATCGAATCCCTAACTCCTTTTTTTTTCCTTCTCTACCTCTCCTTTGTCTTAATTTCTCTAATTCTTATTAAGATCGAATGATCTCGTCATTTTAAACTCGTATCTCCCAAATAAAATAGCTTTATCCCTCATATTCTCACTTAAAAAGCAAAAACCCTAACCCAACTCATCATCTCCCTTTCGCTCATTCAACCTCTTATAAAAATCAAATACCCAGTCTATCTCATCTCCTAGATCTTCCTCTTAGATAGCCTAAAATCTCGATTAATTTTCTTCTTCATCTTATAGATCCCGAACCCTAGATCTATTTCTTACTTCTACCCAGATCCCGGTCTTCACAACCCTTATTTTTATTCAATTTTAAATCCAAAATCTAAACCTATAATTGACAGAATATTCCTAAAATCATTCGAACCCTCCTTATTCACCAAACCTAATGTGATGACGTGTGAAATTGAAAGGCGTGGGGTCTATGTGAGATGGCAATGATGAATATCACCGTCATCATTTTTTTAAAGTTGCTAGTGGTTATATGGATGTAAATAGTAACTCCAAATTAAAAGGGAAGTCTAACCTAGGTGTCCGCTCGAGAGAGCTTAGGTGATAAGATGTAGTGGCGATAGCAGTTGTTGTTTAAGTTCGGTGGAACAGTTGTCTTGTTGAAGCCTATAAACTACAAAGGTTGGCTCGATGATGCTAGTTTTTGGGTCTCCTTCCTCTAAAAAATAGGTAAGAATTCTAAACTTCTAGCTCTCTTATAATTCCTTTAAAATTTTCTTTGCAATTGTTCCCTCTTACCTAAAAATTAGTTCCTTTTCCATTTCTTCAATTTTTTCTCTTCTCGTTTTCCCATGATTCTCTTCTATCTTTAAAATTCTAATTGGATCCCTATTTATACCAAAAGATCTTCCTCACACTGGACCAATTCTAGCCTCCCTCATAACCAAATAAATTTTCTTGCCTACTATCTCGTTTTGGTTCCGTATGAATAAGGCCAAAATTTATACTTAATATTATGCGAATGTGTGTTTTGTGTGTGCTTTGGGTACGAGTAGGGTGCAGTATGATTGAGCAGTGAGGTACACTCGTAATTTCATAATGGGAATTACGAGTACAAGGAGGAGCTAGTAATGTTATCCCTTCCGGCCTTTTGTCTTTAATAATGAAGATAAATAGAGCCAAAGGGTGGTGGGATACAAGAACCGGCTTCGTCGAAGCCTTCGTTGAATAAGCTTGAATAACATGTCGTTCGTGTGATCTAAATTAGTCTTGTCGTTTGTGCCTTAGGTTGATTTAGGTTCTTATAGCTTAAGTTTTATTCCAATTGTACCATTTGGGTGTATCATTGTGGTATTTATATTTTTTATTTTTTCAACTAGGTCCACAAGTCTTGTAATTTCGGTGTTAGAATTTTTAATTGTTTTGATTGTATCCTCAATTACCTCAATTTTAATTTTGTTTGATTCATTTATGCCTCTACTCGTAATTAAGTTTTATATTTTATATTTTTTTATATTTTTCCTTTTTTTTGTTCCATTGTAAATTCCAAAATGAAATAAAAATAAAAATAAGAAAAAAATAAGAAAAAAATAAATAAAGAAAGATAAAATAAAAGGTAAAGGAGATAAAAATTAGGGGGAAATTTGGATTATAACGATCTCTCTTTCTTTACAATGCTTACAATGTAAATGCTAGCTAAAGTTTGAGCTTCGATTAGGTTTGCTTAGTGAGCATGTAAATAAAAAGTAACTTGAGTGGTAAAAATGGTTTGATTGTCATAGATGACTATCCCTAAAAAGTAAAATACGATAGTCTCATTATGAAGGGTGCTTGTCCTAAAAATAAAATGTGATTGTCTCATTATGTAAGGTGATTTACCTTAAAAATAAAATACGATTCCCTCATTGTGTAGGATGATTTGCCATAAAATTAAAAATACAATAGCCTTATTGTGCGGGGTGATTTGTACTAAAAAATAAAATGGGATAGCCTCATTATATAGGGGTGGCTTGCCTTAAAAAGTAAAATGAGATAGTCTCATTGTATAGGGTGGTTTGTCGTAAAATGTAAAATGTGATAGCCTTATTATACGGGGTGGTTTTGTCCTAAAAATAAAAAAACAATGATTGTAAGGCAATTTTGTCTAAGAGTGATGGTCTATTATTAAGCGACGAAGCTTAAAGTGAGTTAACGAAGCATGTTTCTTCTCATTTCCTTAGGATTTTTCTATTTCGTGCTCAAAATGGATTTCACCTTTTCCTTTGTACTCGTAATATTTCGAAACAAGACTTGGCATAGGGATCAATTGATCAACCATGAGAAATATAGATTGCCCACTTAACTTCCTCTTTAACGCTCCTCTTTCTAGTCATTAGGAATTCATATTGGACTATGATCTATGATCTAGCCATTGCAATCTTTCTTCCCTGGTTGTGATTATTATTTCGTAAACTTAGGGCTTATATTTCTTTTCAATCGGCTACCGAGGTAATTTTGATCATCCTAATCCCTTGAGGGTGGTTATCATGCTCAATTACGATCGATTACTAATTGATCATTTTCATTGGCTTATTTTTCCTTAATAGTTATCTTTGTAACTTGGGATCTTATCTCGCATTTTGAAACATTCGATATTTTCATATTTTTTGAATTTTTCCTTCATAAGGAAATTTAACCAGATTTTAAAGCAAAGGTTTTAGATTCAAGGTTTGGACAAATCTCCATGGACACTTCATGGGTTTGTGTAACATCCTTGACTCTAGGATCTAGATAAGTCATGGATATTATCGGTATTGACTTATATTTAGAGTGTAGTGAATGTAAGCTAGCAAGCTAATAAAGCCTCCATATTTTTCCTTACTTGTGATTACAAGCAAAGTGGGCAAATTCTATAATTGAGCTCCCTAATGAGTATGAGATGCTAGGTCCTCATAAAATAACTTAGATATAATTTTCTTTGGATTCATTAAATTCTCTAATTTCATTTAAAATTTTACTAATAACTTAGCCATTTGATTTTTCTTTTAATATAATATTTAATATCCCTTTTTAATTTTTTATGTTTTATTCTAAATTTCAATCATTTCCATAATCCAATCAATTATATCATCCTAGCCATATTAGTCATATTAAGCAATCAAGTTCTATGACTAACAAGTTTGGCATAATAATAGTTTAAAATTCAAGTCACAATTTCATGTATACCAAAAAAATATTTGATTAATTGATTTACATACATGTCAAAATTGCTTAACTTATTATGCATACACGAAAAGTTAAGTTAAGCTAAGTATAAATCTTATAATCTTTTA